TCAAATAAAGGCTTCGTTTGAGATGACTTTTTTACTGTTTCTTAAATCAATCTTTTAGTATAAAAATTATTATTTTTTAATTAAAGTTGTTTTAAGAAACATCATAAAAGCTGTCTCAAACGAAATCAAAATCTTGATCTTAACCCAGCTGAAAAGTTTTGAAAAAAAATTTAGATCCTCTCTCTCTCTCACTTTCTCTCTCAAGAAGCTCATCAAACTCTTAAGAATTCTCCCAATTTTCCCACAGAATGCTCTACAAATGGATAATTAATCAAGATATGATCACTGTCCTCACCAATTGACATAACTCTGGACAACATGATTATAATCTCATAGAACCATGCATGTTAGAAAAACCCTTATTTGTGGTCGTCATAATGAGATGGGCTTCCATCTATAACCGATAGGCTAAAATTATGAACAAGTTCTAAGTAGATGGTGAGTATTCTTGGTGAGCTTTTTCTTACCAAGAAACTACTTAGTGGTACAGTACCTTGGGTGTGGAGTTTAGATCTTTGAGAATATGGCTTTCTCAAGCAGTTTAGTTTACTTCTGGAGTCCTTTTAATGAATTTAATGCCATGTTTATTGAAGTTCGGGAAAGATTTGTCTATCTTGGTGATATGGTGGAAAAATTATTGTGTGCGGTCATCAGACCGTCTGGAGACGAATCAGGATGCGCCACGTCACCCGGTACACAACAAAATGATAATGTTGCGCGTTCGTATCCGCAAAGCATTAGAGCCTGTTTGGAATAAGTATAATATTTAATAAAGTTGATTGTGAAATTATAAATAATGAAAGTCAAAAAGTCTAAGTAACTTAAAATATATTATTTGGTATTTTTATAATTTAATGAATTCTTTTATAAAAATGAAAAAAAATTATGTCAATATATCCTTATATAAGTTATATAAGATAGAGCTTGAAACTCATTAGATTTATTTTGAGATTAATATTGTCTATGACTAATTTCTATTACACAAATTTCAAATCAAATCTAATGACTTTTAAGCATATATTTTATATAAAGATATTTATTTTTCAAATTCATTTTTTGATAAAACATAAATAAATAAAAATATATTTTAAAATTATAAAAGTTTGGGATTACATACTTACTCTTTTATTTAAGCATTTAAACAATTAAAACATCAATTAACATAAAAAAATATTATTATAATGCTATGTGTAAAATCATCAACGCAAAAACACCTGTAACTTTTATTTTTTTTGGACAGGGAGTATCGGCCTTCGACCACTAATCTCCCCGGTCGACCTAGCGGACAGGGAGTATCGGCCTTCGACCACCACGATCATTTTCAACAATTTGTCATGCTTCGTTGAGGTGGTGAGCAAAATTATTATCAATTAAAGCACAAAGAGCGTCGTTCAATTTTTATTTTGATATTGAAGATATTACCGAAGTTATTATATGTGGTGCACTTCTATAATTATCATATCAATTATACAATAATGGACAAGAGATGTTCATCATATCGTCTTCAGATGGGTACAAGTGATGTTGTCAATGTCGTCACATAAAGATAGCATCATTTGATCTTAAGAGGATGAAGGCGACATTGCCAAAGCCATCATGTGAGATGCATCGAAAGCAGCTATAATGCGTTTGTTAGGCCAAAATGCCATGTAATGCATTCGTAAATAAAAGAAGTATTTATTGTCAAGACTCCTTTGTTGGACCCAACCCTCATGGGAAGGGGTTGAGGTTCCTCTAATAGTGGTTCTTCATTTAATTTGGGGGTAGAACCGTAGAAGCACAGATATTTCACCATTGTATTGGTCACCAGGCTGGTTACTATTCTAGTTAGCACTACATGAAAGTTAACACTTTGCGGCGGACTTTACAGTGGATTATTTTTATAAAAAAGACGACGAATCTACGATGGAAATTTTCGATGATTTTTTTTTTGTCGCGGATTTTCTGCCACAAAGTTGGAGCTAAAAATCTGCCGCAAACTACCCTATCTAGCTGATTGATTGTGCATCCACATTCCGCTTCATGTGTTCGTTCTATTCTTCGACTGCTCTTCTCCGCCCTTTAACTCTCCTACAACTTCGCCTCCGCGCATTGTCGGCTAGAGTCGCTAAATAACTTCTTTGCCTCCTTCGACAACATTCCTTCCCGTCGAATCACTTCCTTCGACGATGTTCCTTCCTGTCGCATTCGAAGTCACACCTAGTCGTTCTTCTGTCGCATACAAATTCACACCTCCTTCACATCCGACAGGAGCTTGGTCGTTGTGAAGGTATCCATATTTCTTCCTTTTGCGTGCTTCTTTGCCCAAATTTGTAAATCCGCCGAACTGCCTCCCTAATGCCGAGCTTTGTTGCGAATCTACGCTTTTTGCTGATGATATTCTTTTTGTTAATAAGGCTAGAGAGGGAGTTGAAGGTAAACTTGAAATATAAAGGTTAACCTTAGAGTCTAGTTGGAGGGATTATGACTTTGGGCGATCAAGTCATTAATACGAGTACACGTTTTAGATATCTTGGATTTATTGTTCATAGTGATGGTCAAATAAATGGGTAAAAAACGCCTCGATGCTTACGCCTCGAGTTTTTGTTATGAGGCTTACTCCTCAGCTTGCGCCTCAACTTGGTTGAGGCCCGCCTCGCCTCACTGGCATGAGGCTTATGCCTCACGCTAAATATATTAAAACTTACATAAATCTTGAAGAAAATACCCAACATTGTACTCTATAGGAGAGGAGGAAGGGGAGAGAGCAGTTCATCATAATGATGATTCAATTGAAGAACCCCTTAGTGAATGACAGTGCTGATGAATTTTGAGTTCTTATTTTTGGAAATTTGAATTATATGTTAATGAAAAGAATACTGGGATTTGGGAAATATAGAATTTTGAGTTGAACTATATTTCATGTTGTCTTATTTTTGAGATATTTTGATTTCACTTCATATCTTATGCTTTTTTATGTTTTATATTATTCACTCATAAGTATATATAAAAAATTTATCATTTTATGTTTACGCAATCTTTTGATTTTGAGGCTTAAGCCTCAAAATGCCTTGAGGCTTACGCCTCGCCTCACGAATGAAAAATGCCTCAATACTCGAATACGTAATTTTAAACATTGATCTTGATTATATGGGATGTTATCTCAAAGTTTTTTTATGACGACAATTATACATAAATAACGTTAAATTGATAACCAAATCTCATTGTTTGGTTGTAGGAATTTTTAGCCAAAGTGTGTTATAGATATTTGAAATCATAGAAGTTGGGTTTATAATTGACTGTTGCTTGGACATAGAAAAAGACATTAATAGATGAATTTTTTAACGGAGTAAATTTTTTCTTTCAGGTAGGTTCTCAATTACCTTCCTTTATATTAGAGGGAACGTTTTGTTATCCTTGCTCCAAACACAAAATTTAAGCCTACCTCACACCAAATGAGATTATGTTGATCTATATCGTAGAGGATTCATGCTAGACTATTGGTTTTGAACTTCACATGGTAAGTACGAGCCTCATTTCGGCTCTCAATGCAGCCCTTCTATAAGTTCCAACATAGTTGAAGAAGACAGATTTATGACGTTTGAGAACTTGGATTATGATGAAATTGGGCCACAATTTTAGCAATATACAGAACTCTCTGAATAAGGAGGCATAAAATTTCTATGATTTGTTGCACGCTGTGCAACAAACAATTTGAAATGGGTGTACAACTTTTCTTTTTTATAATGCGACGTGTAAAATCATGAGCCTTCGAAAGTATTTGCATGCAATATCAAAAAGTGTAGCCCCACGCACGCATGCTAATATCTACCCATATCAAATCATTGCCTAGCTTTAATGAGCCGGATTCCACTTGTCTAATTTCTAATAATCTCCAATCCAAATTAATAAAAAAATAAATAAAGATCACATGAAAGAAATTCAAAATTAGAGGCCAAATTAATTTAATATAAAAAAATTATCGTCCTTGTTAACACTATCCAGCTATTGTTTGTTAATTAACGGCCATAATACTTCTTATTCTAGCTAGTCATCCTAAAATTATTATGAGAAAAATAATTTAAAATTTATTTGCAATAATTTTCTTACTCTTTGGTTTTTTGATAATAATAATAATTCTATTTGGATACTCTTTTCTTGCTATTTTCAAAAAAAAAAAAAAAATTATAGTATGATGTTTTTTTTTATATCAATTTTAAAAAATATATTCTTCCTACAACAAATCTTTTGCTACGTGGTTATAAAAATAACTTTCTATCACAATAAATTTTTGAAAAATAATAAGAAAGCATCAAAGAAATTGTAGTGAAATAAAATTATAATTGTTGTTTTAAAAGTAAATAAGTAAGAAAACTATCACAAACATATCCTAAATTTTAGTTTTTAATATATGCAATTAAGGTTTTGTTTGAGATAGCTTTTTTACTACTTCTTAAAGCAGTTTTTTAATAAAAAAAATAATTTTTATACTAAAAAGTTGTTTTAAGAAATAGTAAGAAAGTTATCCAAAATAAAACCTAAATTTATTAAAAATCTTACAATTAATTAATAAATGTAAAGTACATAAAATAGTTAGAAAACTATCACAAATAAATTTTAAATGAAAGAGCTTAAAAAAATTTAAATTATATTTTTAGATTTTTATGCATAATTAATTAATAGATGATGAAATAAAAACAATATAAAAAATTGTTTACAATTAATGGCATCTAAAATATTATCAAATCATAAATAATAATCAATGTAAATAAATATTACACTATATTTATTTGATGCAAAATTATGCACGCAATATTTGTTGTAAAATTTGAATAATATAACCAATTGATAATAATAATCAGCTAAAAACACGCCAACAAAAATTTAAGGAAATTGCTCAGAGAAATAAAAAAAAAACTAAGATTGTATTTAAGTGGTCTTAAATAAATTCTAATTAGCAATTTACATAGATACAACAATTTAAAGAGGAATTATACCTGTAATTAAAACAAATTACCTCTTTACCCCTTGGAACCAACGCCGGCGGCTACTTCAACGGTGGTGGTGCAGGAGAGGAGGCGTCGGAAGACGTAGTGAACTGCAGAGAGCGATACACTTCTAATCCTCTTCACCGCCGCCGCACAGTCCTTAGTCGTCTTCTTCATGTCCCCAATCCAAATTCGCCGGACTGGCCGCCGTTGGCGGTGTCGAGGCAAAGCCCGGAGGGATGCTCCAGCGTGATCTCTTACTTTCTCCAGGCACCGTTTCGTCTTTTCCGTTATGCTCTCCTTCTTTGCTGTAGAGAAAGTATAGCTACGCAGGTACATCTGCCGACATGAGTAACTGTCCACCAACGCCGGCCTCCGCCTCATGCCGCTACCGCCGGTCATTGAGCTGACGAACTCGACGTCAGACTCTGGCCGGCCGTAGAGACTCCTGAAAGTTGGCCGGACCCGCTTGTTACTCATTTCCTCTCTGTGTTTTTGTTCTGCTTTCTTTTAGGGGAAGCTAGGAAACTGGATGAATGAGAAGGGCTTTAGCGGGTTGGACCTTCATTATTTTAGGTAAAGCTTTAAAGCAAGATTTGTTCTTTATTTCTTTAAAAAAGTATTTAATGAAGAGATTAAATAAAAAAAAAATCAATTCGCCCCTTAGGTTAAAAGATAAGCGTGTCCATAAATGATTCAACAAACTGGCTGAAATTCCACTAAAAAAATTTGAATTTGAGTTGACCTATTAATTTTTGGGTTATATTCAGGTTGACATAAAAAATCAAAATTAATCTGATTATCAATTATATTTGGATTTAATAATGGGCCATATTTAGGTTAGACATATTATATTGATCTAAAAAATTGCATCGTCCATATGATAAACGGATCAAATGAATCAATTTGTGAGGTTTGGGTTAAATTGAGTTCATATCAAATATTTTGATTTGTCTAATAAACAAGTCGGTTTTAAGTTATGTTTATTAGATATTTATCCTAATGTATATATTATTTAAATTAAAGAAATTAAATTTATTATTAAAATTAATAATAATTTAATTCATTTAAAATTAAATCAAATTTATCAAATAAAAAATTAATTTAATTTGATTAAGTTGAAAAATAATTTTATCGTTTCGTTCTTTTAAACTCACCCTTAATTATCCTAAGTAGGCTGCGATAGATGATCAATATTCTATGCATAATAACTTGCATATTAATGAGAGAGGTTGTCCGCCCAACTAACAACGCATTATTATTTTTATTTTTATCTCATGTACCATATAAATGATATTGAAAATGTGTTGAGTTGATTGATTGATATCTATCGCTAAATCCTTATTTTAATGCACATTTGAAATGGTATTTTGTTAACTGTTTATGTAATAATTGATATGGCACTTAATTTGTTAAATAAATAAAATTATACAGTCTCCACTCTCCCGTATGTTTGTTGTGTCCCCTAAGATGTTTTGCGTTTGAATCAGAAACAAGATTCACGGAGCATATGCAAGTGCAAATGGTAATATAGTGTAGAAAGGCTGAAAGAGTATGATGCATTTAAAAATATTTGAGATTGTTTGGATAAGTGTAAAATAATATTAAGTCTAATAATAGATGTTGTCGGCGACCGGCGGGTGACGGCTAAAGTGTGTCATGGCAATGATGATGGCAGCAATGGGCGTGCTGCAATAGTAGTGATGGCAGCGGCCGCCAGCGAGAGGCAATTGGTGGTGAACGACTAGTGGTCGGTAGCGTCAAGTTCAAGCCCACATTTAAGTCTTTTAGTCCATTTTTTTATTTGGGATAATTTTTTTATTATTTTCTAAAATGATTTTTAGTATAAAAATTTTTGCGACAAGTTAAGAAAATAGAAAGAAAACTGTCCCAATTGACGTCTTAGCATTTTTATTAGCATTTCAGTATGTTTATTTTGATTATCGTCTATTTTATAATTATATACTATTATTCAAAATTAACCTATGTTGATGTTATTTGGTTTATTCTTTTAACTGAAATAATCTGCAATTCTGTTATCATGTTCAATAGTTATTTTGTAGTTTGTTATTTCTATATGCTATGGTATGATGGTAGTTTTGTTGTTGGTTTATGCTGTTATTCAATTGTTTTGTTCTGTGATAAGAACATATTTTTCAGTATGTTATTATTATTTAGGCTTTGACAGTTTTCTTACGGCTTTGTTTATCATATTACAATCATGATTTTAATATGGCTATTATTTTTTCATTGTTTTCAAGAATTTTTTGTGCTAGGAAGTTATTTTTTACTATATCTTTTTAAAAAATACTTTCTCCGCAATAACTTTATAATCACTTTTATAAAAAATTGCAACAGTCACAAACAAACTCATAGTTATACCTATACTATTTTTGTGAGCTTAGTATTATTTCAGCTGCATGAGTTTTTTTTTTTTTTTGGAAGTTATATGTGAATCCTTTCTCTAATCGTTTTTTAATGATGGTCAAGTTTATACAAAAATATTAGTCTCCTTATGTTCTTATCCGGAATTATACATATTTTAATTTTACACTATCTACTCGAATGTTGGATTGGTCCGGATAGTGTTGGGTATGTTCAATCTGTCATTTTCGAAGACTTTCCTGAGTATTGTGCGCATTGTTTAGCCTTGGGCCATTCTAAAACGAGTTGTAAAATTCTTAATCCTAACCTTGTTTCCTCTACTTTGCCTCCTCCTTCTCATTCGTTGGGGGTTGATTTAGCTGCTGTGCACTCATCTGATCCTGGTTTTCTCTCTAATGCTAAGGAGGGAGGTTTAGGTGTTGACTCTGTTGTCTCGGGTAGAGTCTCTACTAACCCTGTGTCAGCCCCGGATTTGATTGAAGTTGGGGCTGTTGATGTTATTGTTGTTGAGCCTTTGGGTACAGTTTTAAATACTGTGTCAGTTCCTTTTGATAATGCTGTAGTTAATCCTGCTGTGGTTGACCCTACTGTTGATGATGCACCTGTGGTGTCTGTGGGTGCCATGGTTGTTGTTGAGCAGGATGTTCGGGGATGTTCTAGTAATGGCGCTTTGCTGGGTGGTGAACTTAATTCTTTGCCGGTTTTAAGTGAACCATGTGTTTTAACTAAAATTATTGCTCCTTTAATGGCTGTTGAGCGATCTAACTTCTCTGGATCCATGAAGGATTTGTCCCATGTTTCTCAGGTTGGTGCCTCTTCGGTTAATTTGGGAGTGGATGATGTTCATAATGCTTGTGTCGATGTGCCAGTGAAATTAATTGAACATCAAGCCTTGGTTTTTCATGTGGGGAACAATTCCGGTAGGGATGTGAGGAAGCACTTAGATTGGCTTCATATTTCGTCTGATTCGGAGTCCGTTTCCTCTTTTGAGTCTAGTGGCGCAGACGATCCTGGTAATCATTTTGCTTTGTTGCGTGATAAACCTGTTGTTTCTGGTGCATCTCGTGGTAGGGGCAGACGTCGACGATAATGACCGTGGCTTTTGTGGTGGTTGCCTTATGGTTGCTTTTTTCTGGGGTGCAATTTTCTGAGATTGTGCATTGGATGGTCTGGTTGTTTCGGTGGAGAGAGTGGTTACCTTGACTTATTGTTGCCTGATGCCTTTGCATATGTTCGAGCTCTCCGTTTGTTTTTCTTTTGGCCGGGCAATGATGTGGTTGGGGCTCGCTTGTACTATGGCTGTCCCGTGGCAACCTTTGTTGTTGGCTTGGGTGCGTCTCTTTATCAAATTGGATGGTCCGGGCTTGACTTAAGGGTAGCTAGCAGTCTCGGCCTTAAACTGTGCCTTCTTGTTATGTATTTTTATCAACTCTCTCGTCGCGTTGTATCTTTCTTTGAAGGTTGTATTTTGTACTGGTTTTTCTTTTGGTTTGGAATAAAATTTTTTGTTTTCAAAAAAAAAAAAAAAAAAAAAAAACACTATCTACTCGAATGCGAAGTTCCAAAATAGCCCTCTAATGTGAAGTTCCAAAGTGGTGTTGATGAATTTTAGGCTAAATATATCCATGATAATGATGATGAAAATAAAATGACAATGAGAATAATACGAGAGATGACGAAGGTGATAGGAAAAATGTAGAGGAAGTTGATGATAAGAATGAAAGTATCTCGAGTAGGAGAAAAAAATAAAGGAAATCATTCTTCTGTAGTAAAACAAAGTATAATGTTCTGTTGTAGAATAAATTTTGTATAGGAAGCACTAATATGACTATATAATTTAGACTTCGTTTGGAATGGCTTTCGTACTGTTTCTTAAAATAGGTTTTTAATAAAGAAATTGAAAATATATCGAGTAGGAGAAAAATTTAGGTTTAGTTTGGGACGGCTTTCTTACTGCTTCTTAAAACAGCTTTCTAGTATAAAATTTTTAAGTTTTTTTACCAAAAAGTTGCTTTAAGAACAGGTAAGAAAGCCGTCCCAAATGAAGCCTTAAAGAAATCATTATTCTGATAGTAAAAAAAGGCAGAATTTTCTCGCCGTAGAACAAATTTGGTATATCAAGTACTAATATGACTACATAATATAGGCTTCGTTTGGACGTCGGCTTTCTTACAGTTTCTTAAAACATCTTTCTAGTTAAAAAAAATTTAATTTTATACTAGAAAGCTGATTCTCGTCTCAAACAAAGCCTTAATCGGCATTTGGATCAATATACACCTATGATTCAAGCTATAAGACTCTGTAATGTATTATATTTTCAGCCAATAGATATTAAAGATCATAGATTTTTTTTTAATGGAAACATGCCCAAAATTCATTCAATAAAAGATAAATTACAACCAAACCCAAAAGAGAAAAACCACAATACAAGGCTAAAACCAACAAATCAAAACAAACAATAACCGGACTCAAGAATTGGCTCGGGCCTTCATACAACCAATCAAAAGTCAGGCAATGACCATCCAAAGGAGGCAATAAGCTCAATCCAAGCATCAAACCACTTCCTAGACAAAGGTCACAAATCAATACGAGAGAATGAGCCACCAAGATTGCAATCAAGCCAATGGCTTATAGTGATTGTGCAGAAGGCCGCATCATCATTGCCCGGACCAATAACATAAGGCTCAAAACTGAAAAACATAGCAACCAGCAAAATAAATGGTCAAATCGGATTGCCAACCAACAAAAGACACGTGCCAATTACTTACTTTTCGACGTTCGCCTATAACATTTGTCAGAACCATGGAATTGAATTTTTTTGAGCACACAGACTAACATTCAAATTATACTCAATAAAAGCATCCTCTTGCTCCTAAACCCTAAATCCTAAACCCTAATATTAAAGATCCAAGTTATTCACAAATAAAATCAAGGAGGAGGGTTTCTCACCATATTCAAATATGATCATGCTAAGGTTCAAAAGATTGATGATAGCATTTTATATTGTAATCAATGATAAACCCTTTTCTATTATTGATGAGTTTGGATTCGTTCTTGTTTTAAAGGTCACATCTTCATGATTTTATATTCTCATC